TTAATCAGGAGCTCTGGGACAATTATTAACCCTGGAAGCTTTGGAGCAGCAGGCAATGAAGAGGAGTGGACATCCAGCGCACTGAAGCTCACTTTTCATGGGAGTTGTAAAATACGCAGCCTGAAACAGTCCTGGTCATAGACAAGTGGGGGCACAACAATGTGGCCAGTCACCTATCTTATCTGTGACAACGAACAAAGCAGCTGAAGGCATCTTCAAGGTTTTCTAGAAAGTAAAAAAAAAAAATCTCTGCATTTACAATGTTCATATTCTAATTATATGTATTTCTGTGAAACCCCCCATCAATTTTAGAATGCTACAGAAAACATTATTGCTATACTTTTCTGTTTTCTTCTTTAGTTCTTTCCTTAAGTTTAATAGATGGCCACTGAACTTGAAGATTTTTGTTAAGTACTTTGCATTGAATTGATATATTTTTGTTTCTCTTGTGAGTTCTTCTGTATTTACCTAATTTCATTTATGAAGTTTATAATAATGTCTTTTGACTCCTCAGCCAGTGGTCTTATTTAACCACTGCTGCACAAGGCAGGTATAACGTTAGTTAACTTCTGTTTTCTGGCTTTGTAAGAAATATATTAAGTTTTCCACCATATTTTGAGAATTTTCCCCAGTCGCTTAAAATCTCATTATTTCCTTGCTTACAAGTTTATTTTGATGTGTCATCTATAGTAATTCTTGCAGGAATATGCTTGTTCTCTGTAAAGTAAATGTACTTTTTAAAGAGAATATTCTTTATCATGTTTTTCAATTTGTGTATTATATGACTAACAGGAGATATTTTCTTTGACATTTTAAATAAGTTAAAAAATATAGTTATTTGGCCCTCATTCCCGTTCTTCCCTCCAATGTTTCCCATGCCTCTCACATTGTGTTTTGTCTCAAATCATGACCTTCTTTTTTTTAAATTTCTATATATGTGTATATTTGCATATTTATATAAACACAAGTTGTTCAGTCCATGTAGTGTTACTTGAATATATATTATTTAAACAGGCATATATATGTATATGATGTATGTTATAACAAATAATGATAAAACATAACAAAATAAAATATAATAACACAAAACAAAAAATAATCATATTGAAGTCAGACAAAGCAAACCAACAGAAGCAAAAGTGCCCCAAGAGAAAGCACGAGAATCAAAGACCTTGCAAATGTTGCCTTTATTCTTCTAACGTAATTTTCACCTTTGAGGCTTACTGCCTCTGTTAACCTAGGTGTAATTCTTGAAACATCTAGCTTCCATGCAATCTTATCAGGTCTAGAATGTTTTCAGCCTCTGAGACTTACTGCTGAATTAGCTCACCCTTCCTAATTCATTCTGAGCTGACTGATTCAACCCAGCAGTTCAGCTCAACTCCCTCTGAGCTGAATCAATCAAGCTGACAGCTTCAGCCTGGCTTCTCTCAGTTTCTCCTGATTTGTTCTGCTTGACCTCAAACTAAATTCTAACATTTTGTTCTAATCTTCTGGCTCATTCTCATTCTCATTCTCTTGCTAGATACAGTCTAGCTTGCTCTCTCTTCAACCTGTCTCTGTAAGACTCTCTTGGTAAAACTGCCTTCTCATCTCTACACTGTCCCTCAAGTTGCTTCCCTTTCTTCTCTCTTCTCTAGAGGGTTGGACATATCCTACTCCGTTAAATCTTTCTGATTTGTCACTTGGTTTGCCACTCAGTTAGAGATCACTTTTCAATATGGATACTTCCTTCTACAAACTAAATTTACTTTTATTGTTTGGTACTAAAGGTGTGTGCTAAGGGCTGAGCCACACCACAACTAGAAATAGGTGTTTTTGTTTTGTTTGTTTTGTTTTTTCAGTAAATAACACAATCTCAGGTTTGAGAGTGTGATCAAATATCCTGCAACAGAGACCCACTTGTTCACACAGTAAAGAATTATATAACAATCTTAAACTGAAAGCTGTGATATATATGCAGAGGACATGGTTCAGACCAATGTAGTACTTACTTGCTGATTCAGTCTTTGTGAGTTAGCATATAGTGAATAGTTAATAAGTATGATGGTTTAATAAGATAGAAGTAAACAGTCCCCTTCTAAGATCTACGGCTCCACCAGGCCTAGAATGATGGATAAGCTTGTACCTTGAGGCATGCATTTTCCTCCTGTTGAGTGGGTGGTAAGTTCAAATAGACATCTGTTGGTTGCCATCAATATAGGAGTGTCACTATTGCACCTTTAGCATGCTGTTCAATACTTGGATTATAATTATCACATCTGAGTAGGAATGTTGGTGACTTCCCTCCACTAGAAGCTCTTTCAGATTTATGAAAGCCATTTGCCAGCAAGAATGCTTTCAAGTGAGATCCAGCTCTACCCTCTGAGTCCTTCTCTGAGGCACCTTAGAAATTTGAGAAGGAAATAAGTGCATGATCTACAATCTACATGTTTTGGGAGTCTCTTAGACGGCTTTATAAGTTGTGAACATATGCTAGTTTTGTTGAAGTGAGTAATTTTTATTGATAAGATATATGAAAGTAAATCACAAATAAATAGAATGTTTTATTTGTATTAAGAAACTCTAGATGTGTATTTATCTACTTAACATTTGTCAAGAATTTCTTTACATTTGCTTTTGAAGTTATTCATATAGATAAAATTAACTTGTATTGTATTTAAAGATTTACCAATATAAAGAAATTTAGCCTGTTGGATGGTTTAATTACATCACAGCAATTCTAATGTAAATATTTTAATCTTTCCATTGTAACATTATGACACCTTTGAAAAAGGCTAGTTTACATCTTTAGCTTTAATTTTTTTTCCTGATTGTTGATATATATTTTCTCTTTTAGCAGAATCTGCCCAGAAACTAGCTATGTAGCTGAAGATGCTACTATCTTTCAGGGTCTAGAATTACAGTCACATATACAGGGCTTCTGGTTTTATTCTCAAGTCCACTGTGACATCTAGCACAAGTTTACTAAAAGAAGTGCAATGGGAAGGTGCACCTTTTATATTTAGTTTTAGTGTTCTGATTTTTATTGCTCCAACTTTTTTCTCTCCTAGATTCCTCAGAAATGTCTCATTTTAACAAGCAAACACCCTCTTTTTCCAAAGTATGATTTTATTTTTTAAATTAAAATTATACTGACAGTCTATCTTCTCTTTACCCAGGTAATTTTTTACCATCTCTGGAGACAAGAAACACCAGTTTCAGAATACTACTTGTGTATAACCAGTTTTATATCCCAATGCTTTATTATAATTTTGATTGTCATCACATAGCCAGAGTCTAATGACTAAATTAATAGAGCAAATTAACCAACCATTAAATTAATATCTCTAGCCCAGATTCTCCCCCTGATACAAGATTTATATACAGACAACTCAGTGTTTCTTCTGTGATTTCCAAAAGAATCCTACAACTCACTAACTCACTACACATTCAGACTCTCTCTCTCTCTCTCTCTCTCTCTCTCTCTCTCTCTCTCTCTTTCTCTCTCTCTCCTCTCTGTCCCTCTCTCCTCTCTCTCCATTATTTATACAAGCTGGTTTAAACATCAACTGTTTCTGTTTCAGTTGTTTAAAAACCTAAAACCTTTCTAACTATCAGAATTTCTGGAAGGAATACTAAAACATTAAATGATTATATCATTAAAGATACAATGGAAAACAAAATAACTTAACTTTAATCTAATGTTTTCAGAAATCAAGTTAAAAAACTGTGAAAGCATACACAAAATTAGAGGTTCCTATTCATGCTAGAAATATGAAAGGCAATAATGGTCGTCAAGATCATGACATAACTTATAATTACATAATTTCCATATTATTGTGTTCTTACTATACCTTTGAAAGCTATCATATTATAATTATTATAAAAGTATAATAAAGAAAAAATAAATTAATTCATGGTATCAACTGTATTAAATTCATCAAAGAATCATTGTATTAAAATGGTTCTTGAAAAATATATTGATGCCAATGTTCCAGTTATTTTTAGCATTAAAAAGAACTCAAAAAATGAACCTTATTGTCAATGGAGCCTGATATAGCTGTCTCCTGAGAGAGTCTGACATAGCCTAACAATTAAAGAGGCAGACGCTCGCTTCCAACCATTGGACTGAGCACAGGGTCCTCAATGGAGGAGTTAGAGAAAGGACTGAAGGACCTGAAGGGACTTGAAACCCCATAGGAAGAACAACAATATCAACCAACCAGACCCCTACAAAGTTCCCAGGAGCTAAAACACCAACCAAGGAGTACACATGGCTCCAGCTGCATATGAAGCAGAGGATGGCAATGTTGGGCATCAGTGGGAGAAGCGGCTCTTGATCCTGTGAGGCTCGATGCTCCAGTGTAGGGGAGTACAAGGGCAGAGAGGCAGGAGTGGGAGGGTGGTTGGGAGAATACTGTCTTAGAAGCAGGGGGATGGGGGATGGGATAGGGGTTTCCTGGGGGAAGAAACTGGGAAAAGGGATAACATTTGAAAGGTAAATAAAGAAAATATCCAATAAAAATGTAATGAACCTGACTGTCAACAGAATTGAATTTTTATAAGCATATGGCACTTATAACATTTTACTCTTGATTACTCTGTACCATTATTTATTATTGTTGAATGGTATATTAAATACCTTTATCTTTCTGAATTAACACACAATGACTAAAGATTACTTAAAGATAATAGTGTTATGTTTGTAGCTTATAGTTACTGAGGGATAGGAATCCATCTCAGTAAGGAGGAACATCAGAAAGCAGTATGCATGGCAGTCAAAGGGAAAGTTGAGAGATAATATGTTTTTAGTTTTTAAGAAACATATTTCATTACCACTTATTAATTTAACAAGATGGTGAATTTTGTTGTGACATTTTAATAAATGTATATAAAGTAATTCAATCATATTGAAAGCCTGTATAGCTGTTTTTGCCCTTACATCTTCTGAGCTTCTTCTTTTATTCAAATAGTTTCCCTTCTGCCTTCTTGTCCCTCCATACACAAACCAACAGTCCGAACATATGGAATGCTTCACAAATTCAAGTGACATCCTTCACAGGGGCCATGATAATCTTCTCTGTATCATCCCAATTTTGGTATATGTGCTTCCAAGAAAGCACAAGAAATCACATCTTTATCATAAGAATGAAATAGAAATATCAATGTGGAAGTGGGCCGAGGATATGAAATATCAATGTTCACCTACACTGATGCACTTTTTATACAAAGGCTACCCAGAATAAAATTTCCATAAATAGCATCATCACCTATGGACCAAGGGTGAAAAAATCCTGATTTTGTGGGAGATAATTTTCATTAAGCTATCATAATTACAATACACAACTCTTTCCTTCTTAATGAAGAGGTCTGTATAATTCATTCACAGACAGTTCTTACTTGCTATCCTGCTTCACTTGCTAAGGCTTTTGCAGTTATGGGGCAGTCAGTATATTTGGTCATGTTAAGGACCATTTGAATTTATATTCAGAAATCATTTTATTTTGTTTCAACAGATATTTAGCAGATGCAAGTGAATAAAAGGTATGGAGAAAAAAATCTAATGTAGTTAGTCTATCTTACTAAACAAAATTAGCATTAGTGCCTATATCCATTTACAGGCTGTTTATGCTTTTATCGTGTTCCAAATTTATAACTGCCTGTGGCCACGGACCAACTGGGTTCACCTGAAAGTGGGGCTGGAAATGAAGAAAGGGATGGAAGGGCGAGAAAAACATGAAGCCAAGACAAAGTTCTCTGATCAAGGCTTGAAGTTTAATACTCAGCTCTTCTAATTTAAAGGGAAAGCCCCACTGAACCCCTTCTTGTTTCAGCCAGAGATGGGTGAGGGAACCCATTTTTAGTCACTGCTGGAAATGTCTCAAGGCAAGATCAGCGGGCAGTTTATTCTTCTAAATTCCTGTAGCAGGTTGTACTTGCAGCCAAGGTGGGTAACTCCACCTAGGTCCTATTATTTGGTCTATTGTGGTAAACAAGGTCTTTCAGGCCTGCTCAAAGCTGGGTGGAGGACACATACATTTCTAGACTTTAGAATTATCTTTATGCCAGCCTTTGGGCATTTTTCATATTTATAGAGAGCTTATTTTATAGAAAATAGGGTACTCAATTTTTCCTTTGTTCCCAGTATCTATAACATTCTCTCATTTATAGGTTTAGTCACTAGAAAATTTAGTGATCTATTCATGTATAAATGGTCACACTATTCTCAGCTTCATGAAGACATAACATGACCCATGACTTCATCTTAATAGAATGGTATGAAATGTTTGTCAAAATCTACTTGTAAAAGTATGAATTTAGAATGTTTGGAAAAAAATATATGAAAGATCTTATAAGCCTTATCAATAAAACAATAAAAGAAATAATGAATTTAAGTAAGAAGATTCTTATTTTAACAAAAGAATTTATACTCAAAAGGTTGATTTTAATGAGAAAGAAATAGGAAGGATAGGATGAAAGCAGTGAAATTGTGATGAATATATATATATATATATATATATATATATATATAATTTGTATATCTATGTATATCATCTGTGTCATCCATATCATGTAGATCATCTGTATCTCTATATCACCTATATCATATATTCTATATCTATCATCTATATCTACATCTATATATCTATGTATCTATATCTTCTATATCTATATCTATATAATATACATCTATACTTAATCTAGGTGCATAATATCTTTTGAATAAATATTCATTAAAGTATCCCCTATGAAAATGAAGAAAAAACTCTCTTTTCATTTACTCACAAAGAATATCATACGAGCTAGTATACTAGGCATTGTATATTTTCTGATTCATACTCAATTTCACATTTCCAATCTATTGCCAAAATAATAAGCACGGCTTAAAACAATTTTGGGGGGAAAAAGTTTGTTTACTTACATAGTTTGTTGTCCATCATGAATGGAAATCAAGGCAGGATCTTGGAGGCAGGAACTAAAGTAGAGAGCAAGGAAGAATCTGAGTATTGGCTTGCAACTCACAACTTGCTCAGTCAGCTTTCCTATACAATCTAGGATCATATTCCCCAAAGCAGCACTGATCTCAGTAGTATTTGTTCTCTTCTATCAATTAATAATCAAGAAACCGTCTCAAGGAGAAAATTTTATGGAGTTGTTTTCTCAGTTGAAGTTTCTCTTTACATTTGTTTCTAGCTGTGTCAAGTTGATACAAATATAGCCAAAGCAATTGTTTTTATTTTTTTAATATGATTTAAGCTTGAAGTTATCCAAAGCATTTGCATTTATTTATTTATTTATTTAGTTAGTTAGTTAGTTAGTTAGTTAGTTAGTTAGTTTTTGCTTCTAATAAAAGACTAAAAAGTTATTTTTAAAATCTACACAGGCCTCAATGGAGACAATGCTTACCAGCACATACATCAAAGTTGAATTCATTGTAGTCTCCAAGGAATTCAGGTGCATATTTACAGAAGTAAGCACCAAGAACATGGCTGGGATCCATATTTGTAGAACCCTGAAAGTTAGCCTGGTCCCTGGTTGAGCTAAGGTAGGAAACACTGGTGATCCTGAGGGACCACAGGTGTTTTGCCTGGTTCCTGGACACTAGGCTCATGACAAGAGGCCACAGCCCTTCATAGATTTGTGGCCATCATTGTAAGGGCAATGCCCCAAATCCCTCCACAGATAGAGATCCTGACCTGACCTGTTGTCACATAGGCCCAAGACAGATCTCCATTTTAATAAGGTACCTAAAGTCCTGAAGGGCTTAGCCAATTAAATTCCCCTTTCCAGACGCTCCTCCCTGCAAAAAGGTATTTAACCTCAGGCCTGTCCTAAGAAACTGGGGTACAGTTTTTACTCATCCAATTTCCACCATGACAACAAAAGCCTCAAAACCATGGACTGCATCTTTTCGTTGGGATCTGCCATGGGGAACCATAAAGAAGAACTTCACGTACAGGTCAGCTTTCTCATCTCCCATACTAGACCTCTCTGCGCTCCCAGCCATGACCACGAAGCCAAGCCAAGCCAGCTGCCAGCCAATCAAACCAAGAACTCATCCCAGTAGGACGAAGCTGGAGCTGCTCCCCCACTTTCTCCCTCAGCCCCTGGCCACATCCAGTCCATGGGCTCCATTCTCAGCTCTTTCATGGCTTCCAGCAGAGCCTGGGTGCCCAAGAGCCTGAGAACCAGATGGCCCTGGCCTCCCTTCAGGCCAAGGGACCCCAGAGCCAGCTCTGGCTTCCCAGGGACTTCAGACTGTGCTTCCCTATCATGGAGTGGTGTCCTGAAGCTTAGCCAGACACTTGCAGGTGCCACCACCAGGGTGGGGAAGCGTAGTCAAACTTCCCAGGACCTGCCTCCCCTGTGTCAGAGCAGACATGGGACCCCAAGTAACACTACACATATTCATCAATTTCCAACACACAGTCCACACCAGAATACTTTAGAAGACAGACATAAACGTATCTTCCTACTGCATTGAGACACACTGCCTCATTCATGCAGGGATCAAAACAAAAACATATACTTTCAAGGCACAATGTCTGCCTTGGTATCTAGGCACACAGAAGCAGGAATAGACATTGATTCCATCGTGGCACACAGTCCCATTCTGGCTAGGGCTGGAAGCGTTCAGTGTGATTTGTCTCCCAGAACCTTCCAGCATTACCAGCATGGCAGATGCAGATAGGGTACTCAGAGCCATTATGGCTGGTGCCTTCATGTCAGCAAGCATTCGCTTCATAGGAATCAGTAGCCGTTTCACAGGTTAGCCCTCGCTACCCAGGAGGACAAGGGCACAGGAAGCCCCTTTCTTCTGGGGTATTCACAAGAGTGTTAATTTCTTAGAAGGGACTGGAAAAGCAAGAGTGTTTTATATCTTCACAGTTTCTATCCAAATTTTGGGTTAAACAACGACTACTGTGAATGGACAGGTAGTGGATTACCAGGGAGACACCGTGAGACTTTGATGCTTCTTTGAGGTTAAAACCTTGTCACAATAATACAACATGTAAAGTCACTATTGACAGTTATATTTGTCATTGCTGGCCTGGATAGACAGGTGCCCTGTGTGAGATGGACATCAATGAATGCATAGCACTGCCTGCCAGTTTGGGGAGAATGTGCAGAGTGGTCCTCAGAAGATCGGTATGGATACACTGCAGATCTGTCTTTCTTCTTCAACTACCTTGGAGCTTCAAGATACCTTTTCTCAGAGGTAAAGGGAGGAATGGTGGGAGGGGGCTGTGAGTGGGCAGAACTGGGAAGAGGGGTGGTTACAATAGGGACTTAAAGTGAATAAATAAATAAATAAATAAATAAATAAATAAATAAATGAAAAAAAAGACCACACAGACTGGCTAAATCCTAGAATAATTTCAAATATTGAAGTAGAAAGAGCATTTTAAAATCTCAATCACCTTCTCCCTCTCCTTCTCCCTCTCCCTCCCGGCCTTTCTCTCTCTGTATTTCTGTATGTTTGCTGAGAAAGAGAGGTGGCCAAAAGAAAATACTTTGTTTCCTGTACCTGGAGTCAGAAAGGTGGTTGCGAGCTATCCATATGGGTTCTGTGAACCAAACTAGGGTCTTGTGTAAGACCAACAAACCACCTTAACCACTGAGACATCAGTGTAGTCCCTACCACTAATTTTTAAGTGTGTATTTATTTTTCTTATTTTATGACTTAAAAAGAAAAAAGGTCACAATTTTTCACATGCTATGAAATATGTAATTAGACCTAGTGTTGGCCACTTGAGAGTTCTGAGATATTCTACTTTTTTTTTTTTTACCTCATTTGGCATCATGTGTATTTGTGAATTTTAATGGATTTTTATTATTTGCATAAAAGAATAAAACAACCATTATAATCAGTTATTCTTTCTCCAAACATCATGCTTGGCTCTAGGGCTTAACAGATCATATTACAGGTCCTACATTATCAACAGCTCAAATCATATGTCTCTCTAACCTTCTCCTCACATTGATGGGCTTACAAAATTTCATCAGCTGTGTATATGTTAGAATTTAGTAAAACTGTAACCATTTATATAAAACATACCACTTTATTTAAATAAAACATACCACTCTAATTTTATAGGATATGCTACAACGCAGAGTTGAA